TAAGATCTAGGTAAACTTGTTCAATTTGGCGTTAAAAACAAACGTTTTCACATATTTTCCATGTAGTTTTTTTGCCAGTTCCTCTTCTGAAAGGTAGACAATTGTTTTCTCTTTCCCCCAGAAAATCTTAATATTCTCCTAGTTTGGTCCAGCACAGTTCACTTCCCAATTGCAGCAACAGCCTCATATCATAACCACATAAGTGGAGAAAATGCTCAGTAGCAATGAGAGAATTTGCTGTTGCATTTAAGTTATGTTAACTATTATTTAACATTTAAACTTATTTTCTGATTTTTTATTTATTTATTCAAAAAACCCTGGTAAGGGATGTTTTTCTGTATTTGGAGCATCAGAAAAAGTTTTATGGTGGAGGTGATGTTTTAAAGTCACTGAGAAACTGCATGCATGCAGTTAGTTGTTTTGCTGCTAATACAGTAGCAGGTGCAGCTGCATATTTTTGCAATAAAAATGTTGTAATGGAATTCATGCATTAGTTTTTGTTTGCTTTGAACCCAGAGCAGACGTCACACGCCAGACGGCATCAACACTGCATACTTTAGTATTTGTTCATTTATCGTGAGTAATATCGATATCGCAATATTAAGCACCGTTATTGAACATCGCAGGTTTTCCTAATATTGTGCAGCCCTACTTTTTATCTACCTCACAGTATTTTCCAGTTGAAAGCAGAGAAGAAAATAAAATCTGTAGTCCAAATCATTGCATTTTTTTTGTGTGGGAGAAATATCGGTAATCGGTATCGGTGAGTATTCAGATCCAAGTATCGGTATCGTATCGGTTTGGAAAAAAGTGGTATCGTTGCATCCCTAATTTCAAGCATCACCTTCCTTTTAACATGTCAAGTCTGCGAATCTAACCCAATCAGCCTGACATAATGATCTCCAGCCTTGTGCTCGTCAACACTCTCACCTGAGTTAACGAGACTATTACTGAGTCGATCTCAGCAGGTCCTTTAATGACAGCAATAAAACGCAGTGGAAAGTATTTTTGGGATTAAGTTAATTTCCATGGTAAAGAAGGACTATGCAATTCATCTGATCACTCTTCATAACATTCTGGAGTGTATGCAAACCGCTATTATAAAACTTAACTAGCAACTTTTCCAATTTCCTATATTTGTGTCATTCTCAAGTCTTTTGGCCACGACAGGAGTCTCCCTTTTAGGGCACCAAGACAAACAACTGTAATAACCATCTATGTATGGTTAGCTTTGGTCAGCCGAGCATGCTAACGGGAGCTAATCTTATTCAATAAGTCATTAAAAACTTGATGGACGGTGCTCACATACCTGCACCTCAGCATAACATCTAAATGACTTTAACCCTTTGATGCATGAATTATGAAATCTTCAACCATGAATTTTTAAACATTTTTTTCATTCATTTTTAGGTGTGAATGAAACAAATTTCAACAAATATTTTTGTAATATTTTGTTAATTTACAAATAAGTTATTACACGTCCACCTCAGTGGACAGCGTGCATTCTGAACAGGAAATATGTTGGCTAGACTTACTGAAGTCCAAATGGAGGGGCTCAAATGCAATAAAGTCTTCAACAGCTGTGCTTACTGGCAAAAAATAAATAACAATTTTGAATACCTGTCCACTGTAGTGACCATTATGCATCAAAGGGTTAAACCCACATTATGTGTAGCGTGGCTTCAAATTCATGAGCCTTCTTATCTGTTACACCTGCTAGGGCAAAATTCCCTGCGCTCCAAATGCGTTCAGTTCAGTGATTCCGATGGATCAGATGTTCATTACTTCTCCCCAACAAACACGTGACTGGCTGCTGAACTGAAGCTCATGAACACCTTTAGAGGCTAAGCTACATTCACTTGGCCAGGACTGTACTGTGCTGCACTCTGCTTCTTATAAAAAACTATTTTTTATACCACCTGACCCAATTACACACCTGTCAATTCAATTCTGACAATTAACCTGTAAGTTGTATCTCATCCTTTGACTGCACAGACCCACAGGCCTGCTGTTTTTGCCTGTTTAAGAGCTGCAGGCATTTTATTATGTGTACCTAAACTCTGGATGTTGTTAACACTGGAATAACCAGATGTTCAATATTTCAGGTTCCGGTACATCAGACTCTGAAAGATCTGCTGATCCTGAGAGCAGAACTCCAGAAGAAGGTGGAGGAGCTCAAGAGAGAACCTCCTTCCAACACACATCTGTCTCCGCTCAACAGCTCCCCTACAGGAACCCCGCTGCACATGTTCTGACTGAGACACACACACACACACACACACACACACACACACACACACACACACACACACACACACACACACACACACACACACACACACACACACAACCGTTAAACCAAATATTGAGTATTACAGTTTCAACAAATGAGGAAACATTTTTCACTTCATTAACATTCCTTTATTAGTGAGGATGGTAATAAAGCTTTACAGACATTAAAATAGTTAAAAGTCAGACTGGTGGCATTTGAATTATTCCTGATGGTTTCCTAGAGTCCCTGTACAGCACACAGGTCTGGGTTGAAACCCCCCCCCCCCCCCCACACACACACACACACACTGCCACAAACTAAAGCTCCTGCTGTCCCACTGCCCGAGTTCCCGTTTCCCTTCGTTCATCCGGGGAGTTCTGATCAGGAACGGCATGTGGGTTAGGTGCTACAGATGCTGAGATCCTGTCATGATGGTTTATGTTCAGTTCTCATCGTTCCTGGTAAAAATTCTACAAAACGTGCAAATTAAAGGAGTAAAAGGCACAAAGAAGCAGCTGTTCTGTGTTTTTCTGCATCAGGGCAGACCTGAAAGAAGTGGACTGGGTTTACAGGCGAGCTCGCTTCGACACTTTTAAGGAAATAGAAAAAAATTCTAACTACTAGAGAATGTTTGTTTTTCGAAACAGTTTATTTCAGCGGTTCCCTGGAACCGCAGCAGAAGCAGATGAAGTTGAGCAGAGTGAGACCAAGTGGAACGCAGCTGGGCTTTGAGTGCTAGCTGGTTCTCCAAACCCCACAGGTCCTCTGAAGGGCGAGGAGCAGCGGGGCACACTGTTCACAGGTCTGAGTACATGAGGACAGTTTTTCCCCACAAAACAACACTGGTGATGCCTGATTAGGTCATGAAAGATGAACAAATTCAAAATTAAATTTCTAGGGTAGAGTGGTTCGCTCTGACTCAGTAATAAGACAAAAGCCACTTCACCGACTAAACAAACAGCATTTACTGGGTCAGAGGTTAGAGGTGTGGTTCTGTAGCCAGAGCGGCACGCAGCTGGTAGCAGTTGTGGTCCTGAAAGCAGCAAGGCACATCCTGAACAGGGCAGACACCGGGAAAACTACACCGCATCATCACCATGCAACCTAATGCAGTTAGGCTGAGAGGAGGAAGCTGATTTCAGACGAGTTGGCACAAAGAGCATCTGACCTAGGAACTTCGAACCATCTGGGTCAGACCCAATATCTGAAATCTACATGCAGCGTTTTCACATTTCTGTCATCCTTCACAAACCGGATCTCCGTGAGTTTCGGGTGAAACCGGTGCACAAAAACAGTAAATAAATAACAGTATAAATACATGCTTACCAGAGATAATAATTCAATAACAGTATGATGTCATCATACCTATAAAAGTAAAAATGTGGACGCTACAATGCTAAGCTACAGGCTATAGCAGCTAGTCTCCTGTTATGCAGTGTGGGTCTGAATACTCCATGAGCACTAGGAGCCTTTAGCTGCGTGCTACACAACGTTCCCTTTGGCAGGAGGCTCCGTGTTCGCTGGCTCCAGAAGAGTCTGTTGTGCTGCAGAGACAAAAGCAGAGCTACATCAAATACGACTCGTTAAAACCTTTACTTACCAAAGTGATCAACGTCAAAGGGACAGCCAGAGAGAAACAAGTCGAAGACGCACAAGAGCAACACAACAAGAAGCAGAAAGTACAGAAATCAGCTGTACCAGACCACTGCACAAGGGGAAAACCACATAATGAACTGGGACGGTACATGGAGCATAAACACAACAACAAAAATTACAAAAGATGGATCAAGGAAGCGATAGAGATAAGGAGGCGTGGGCACAGGACCATGAACAGAGACGATGGAGTATTCACACTGGATCATGCATGGGACGGTGTCAACAAAAAGGAGGACGTGGGCAGCCGAGGGCGACATCATCCTCTGCTGCCCACGGATAAAAGGTAGAGACACCGGCGACTCTGGCGATGACTAGAGACATTAGTTGAAACATGTCAGGTAAAGAAATTTTTTTTTTACTAAACTTGATTTAAAAAAAAGAACAAAGTAATGGATGATCAAATTTTCTTGTTAACTCACGACTCTCCTTTCGCATCTTAGTGCTGCCATGTGGGCCTCTGCTGCCCATATAAACACTCAAAATGCAATAAAAGTCCATAATGGTGACTCGGTTTTCTGTCAGTGTTTGTATTTAGGAATTATTTCGCAAAAACAAGCCACTTCTAAACGACCCCATTTGTGACATCACAAAAGGAGATTTTAACCCCTCTCATATGCAAGAGAGAACTGTTGCTGGAGGAGCAGTGGTTCTACTTTAAGCCCCTCCCTGATATCAGAGCTTCTCAACCTATAGGAGCCTAAGCAGGGGAAGGGTGGGCGTGTCCTGCTCCAGCTTAAAAAAAATCATAAAACGACTTTGGATTTAATATGCAAAGAACTTCATGAACGTGTTTGATATGGACCATATTAAAAACAAAGATGATTTCTAATCACACACAGACTGTGACCTCATCTGACTGAAGCTGCTGGAGCTCCAAACATCACTTCTTCCTCATCCTAAACGTCTCTGATCTCTGGTCTAGTTGGGATGATACTAACCAAACCAATGGCCACACCAGGAGCGTATGTTCTATCTGATTATTTGTTACGGTGAACACGTCAACTATTTAACGCGCTTCAAACAAAACCTGCGACTAGAGGAGCAGAGATCAGTACCGTGTGGTTCTGTTGCAACAACAGCTTCGGGGTTCTCAGTCTTCATCAGGTCGACGTTAAGGCTCTCTGAGAAAAGAAAACACAACGTCCAGAATTCCAATGAGCGTGATCAAGTTAGCCAAAGGCCAGAAGAAAACGGGAAACGAGGGGAGGTCACAGGGAAGACATAAAGCAGCTAAACACATAAAGAGAGCTAAAGGTCAGGACGGATGTGGGGTGATGCCTGCAGTGTACAAAACAAGCAGAAAAGAGAAAGATTATTTAATGCCATCTATTCTGATCATTCCCTAAAGCAGTGATTAAAGGTGTGGATCCCTCGTTTAATCAATACGTTTGCAGCGGTCTCTTGTAGTTTCCAGGAACCAGCAGGTTTTGGAGTCTTGTTTCCTGATATTTGGACAGCTCGCCTCGGATTAGATAGCATCAACGTGAACCTACCACTGACTCGGTTTGCTCTGCAATGCTGATGTTTTATCTCCACAAATAACACAAGCCTGGAAGAGCTTCTGCTACGTGGTGAAGTTGCTAATGCTAATGGTTAGCTTCTACTGGTCGAGACGTTCTCTGCTGTTTCCTGGATGCTAATCCAACAACAGCCTTCCCCGTCATGAGTTAAGATGGGTGAGTCCATGAATGTTAGTGACAGTGTGCCGTAGATCTGTCAGGATTTTGTAATCCTAAAGTTTCACTGTCTGTTTTCTACCAGAAGCTAATGCAGGAGATAGGTGTAGGAGACTATTTCATGTTCAGCCTGCATAAAAAGCTCAGAGTGACAATAAGAGGGTTTTCAATGAACCACACCTTCAAGTCTATTAATATAAAGATGTCCAGACCCAAAGCCTTACGCTGTAAGCTGAAGCAGAACTTCTTCTTCTGATAGCTGATGTAGCTGCCGATGCCTCCAACCAGCACCATGGCAGCAGCACTAATTATTCCTGTGATGGTGACCACCTCTCCTGAGGCCCCTGAAAACAAAACCAGACACAAACAGAACCTTTGTGTTCTGGAAGCCACTCGTTCATTCTTTTACAACAGGAGAGTTCAGAGAGACAAAACCGGTGTTACCAGTGCCTTCATCATGCTGGTTAGTCGGACTGGAGTCACCCTTTGACCGCCCCCCTGTGAAACAACAAGGACACAATGAGGATGTTTTTTACAGGCTGAGATCAGGGCTTGGTAAAGGTCAAAGGTCACCTTTTCCTCCATCGGGGTTGTAGGAATCATCTTTGCTCACTTCTACCAGGTCGCTGTCAGAAAAGGCACCTGTGAGGAAAGGACAGCATAAAGTGGTCAACATCTACTAGAGTCAGACACCAGAGAGCTCAGGGGCTCTTTAGGAGCTACACGTGTTAGCAACAGCAGCAACACACCTCCAGCCTTCTTCTTGTTATTCTGGACACTGATGTCGTTTTTTGGGTCTAAAGCATCAGCAAGATTAAAGTCATCCCCAGCTGTAAGAGTCAAAGGGTCAAAGGTCACTATTTAAATCTTGTGTGCCCTGAGCATGTAGGAAATGCTGAGAGCTGCAGGGTCCTTACTTCCTCCGGCTGCAGGGTGACGTGGCTTTCCAGGTGGGACAGTACTCGTGGCTGCAGGTAAACAACATCAACTAGAGTTTATCAAGACTGAAAATAGTCCAGCTGCTGCATGAACTAGCAATGGAAATTCAGCTGTCTTGATTCTCCTTCACATTGTCATTTAACCAGAGGAAACAGGAAGTGGTCTCATGGAGGACTTACCTAGTTTACGACTGTCATCTACAGCATCGGCCAGGTTAAAGTCGTTCTGAGACAGAACTACAGAGGACAGAGACAGATGTGTGTGTTTGAAGCTATGACTCTAAGCTAGTAGCATAGCATAGCGTAGTTTATTTAAATAGCACATTTAAAACGCAGCATGGGAGCTGCTCAAAGTGCTGCACAAGCTAAAACAAAACACAACCATTTGAAAGAACTAAAACAGAGGATAAAAATCCCAATCAAAAGCAGATAAAACATGAGGAACACTAAGAACACATTAAAACAATGATACAATAAAACACTAAAATGAGTTACTGTCTAAAAGCCAAAGCGTAAAAGTGGGTCTTTAAACGAGATTTAAAAACCGCCAGAGATGGAGCCTGCCGAACTCCAATGGGCAATGAGTTCCATAGCTTTGGGGCAGCATGGACAAATGCTTGTTCACCCCGCGATTTAAATCGCATCTGCGGCGTGCACAGCAGCAAAAGGTTAGCCAACCTCAGCGTGCGCGTGGGCACACATGGAGTGAGCAGGTCAGAGAGATAGGGAGGTGCCAGGTCATTGAGAACTTTAAATACAAAGGTCAGTAACTTAAACTGCACTCTGAAAATGACAGGGAGCCAGTGAAGAAGTTCCAGGACAGGGGTAATATGGCTACGTCGGTGTGTACTCGTCAAGCACCTGGCAGCAGCGTTTTGGACGACCTGCAGCCGATTCAGGGCGGATACCTGAACACCAACGAGGAGGGTGTTTGCGTAGTCCAAGCGAGAGGAAATGAAGGCATGGATGACTGACTCCAAATGCCTCCGTATCAGGATTCGTCTGAGGCAAGTAAGGCGGCGAAGCTGATAAAAGCAAGACCTCACTACGGAATTTATCTGTGGGGCCATTGTGAGTCCAGCATCCAGCTTGACCCCGAGACTTGTCACACACTGTTTGGGGTTGAGGGTTAAAAGGTCACAAACAGGGTGAGAGCCATGGTGGTCGTGGGGGTCAAAAACAATAAACTCAGACTTCTTTTTGTTTAACTTTAAGAAGTTGGATGCCAGCCAGCCCTTCACGTCATCTAAACATGGAGCCAATTTCGAGCCCGCATTCTTCTCATCCATTTCTATGTATAGTTGACAGTCATCAGCGTAAATGTGATAGCTCAGGCCGTGCTGATTCAGGATATTGCCCAGAGGCAGAAGGTAGATAGAAAACAGCAATGGCCCAAGAACAGAACCTTGTGGCACCCCCCAAGGCAGTGGAAGACAGGAGGATGCACAGTCACCAATCTGTACAGAGATGGAACGGTTTGATAGGTAGGAGCGGAACCATTTATGTGCCACCCCCATCACCCCAACCCAAGACTCAAGCCGATCCAGTATAATATGGTGATCAACCGGATCAAAAGCCGCTGAAAGGTCTAGCTGGAGCAGGAGTACCCTAGACCCAGAGTCAGATGCCACCAGAATGTCATTTAGCACCCTAATCAAAGCAGACTCAGTGCTATGGTGTGGTCTAAAGGCTGACTGAAACACATCCAACAATCAGTTATTGTTCAAATGAGCAGAGATCTGGCCATGCACAATTTTCTCAAGGACCTTCGAGAGAAACGGGACCAGGGGTTCTCAATTATAATGGTACGAGGGCCACTCACAAAAAAGACCCAGAAGCAAGAGGGCCGGCTGCTGCTGCTGTTTGGATCTCTGGCTGTAATGCACGTAACACACAAGCTTGCAATATAAAGAAGGACAACACCTGTCCCCCTCCAGCTCAGCTGTGTGACTGCACTACCCTGTCCTGTGGGACCCTCACCATGTGACCCTCATGTCCATGCTGTCTCTGGAGGAGCAGATAGGAGACAAGACCTCCTGTAACTTAAAATGAACCAAAGCTTCCTCCCAGTTTCTCTTTAAGCTGAATTTAACATCAGTTTATCATCATGAAACAAAAGAATAAAGTGGAGCAAGAACTTGTATCTTCTATTTCTCTCTCCTTTTAACTTCTCCGTGTCCCTAAATAAAAGAGACAGATGATTACGCTGCAGCCGCCGTCACTGACCCCGTTCCCTCCCCAAGACCGGATCTCCCGACATCACAGCACTCGGTCTGACTGAGCGCTTCCAGGAGAAATAATAATGAACTTATGAAAATAATAATGCGTGTTTGGAGGAGCGTCCTCCGATCCTCTCTCTCTCTCTCTCTCTCAGTCACTGATCGAGCGAGCGGAGCGCGCCACGTGACAACCCGCTCAATTAACATAATTCATGGCCCAAATCCAACAGAACCGATCGGGCTGATTCGGTTCGGGTTCGGTCTCAGGTTACAACTCCGGCGCTCAGCCCTGCAGTACCACATAAAAGCAGACCAAAGTTTCCTACCCGGTAAATGTGGAGAACACCGCTCTGACAGATGTGGATGCTGCGCTGGTGCCGCCGTTAAAATAACACAACTACATTCCACTATAATTGATTATGGCTCCTCTTCTGTGATGCAGAATCGTTCATGCCCGCACCTCATGCATTATTTGATTATTTTCCTCAGCTATATCTATCCTGCACCTCCCGGTCGGCCGTCGGGGGTGGGGGTGGGGGGTGCGCGTGGTGTTTGGGGGCCACAAACAGAGGGCTCGCGGGCCGGAAAAGGCCCGTGGGCCGCCATTTGAGGACCACTGTAGTAGACGGTCGGTCATGGTGGATGGCTGCTCCTACGGATCCAGGTTCTGTTGGAGGTTTCTTCCTGTTAAAAGGGAGTTTTCCTCTCCACTGTCGCTAAATGCTTGCTTAGTATGAGGATTGCTGTAAAGATTCTGACACTAGTCAGTGACTCGATGCAACCGGCTGGGTTTCTTATACAGGAAACCATTTGGCCTAATGAACTAATAAATGGTTTCAACTGGAATGTTTTATTTGTAAATTGCATTGAGATGACTCTTGTTGTGATTCGATGCTGTATAAATAAACTGAATTGAAGACGACCAGTGTTCCAGTTGTTTTAGTGAAGTATTGATAAAAATATCATCTGTTATCACAGAATTAATGACCCTCAGCTCCTAACATCAGACTTTGCCTCCAACATATTCAGGTTGCAAAATTATGCTAATGTGGATTTGCTGTGGTGGCCATCTTGAATCAGGTTGATTGTAACAGCTAACGCATTTACATAAGCTCATCAGGAGGAACATCTAGGAGGCCCCCTTGAGCCAGCGCAGTAGTTGGGAGACAGAAGAACTCATCATGATGATGTTTTCCACCCATGCATGAAGCTGTGTGAGAACTGGTGAGCTCTTTCATTTACAGACAGCTGCATGACCCACGAAGGAGCTACCTTAGGCTTGTGAGAAAAAAAAAAGGAACGCAACTTCAATCGCAATAAAAAGCAACTTACGTTTAAGTTAAAGGGAAGTCTGTGGCAGCGCTGAGGCTGCCCCATGCTGCCTGTTTACCGCCATGGCGTAGTCTTTTGTAAAAAGGACACAACTGCGTCACATTACCGCCACGGTCTGACCACTTATAAACGACCTAAGGCTCCCAGATGTCGCCTCAGCTTTGCAGCAAATAGGGCTGGTGTCGTCATCACCGACACGGCCGCCAAATTGGTGGCCTATACGAGTCCTAACTTGTTGCTTGTTACAACTGACAACAGCGCGCTCAGTCTCGTTCTTGTGGCTTGAGTTAATCTATTTTGTCTTTGCTGTGTTGTGGGGTGACACGTCAGGGCAATAAAAGTGGAAAACGAGCTAACTTGTCACTGTTTTCCTGCTTGGAACTACAACCACGGGGACCAACCATCTAGCATAACAAGGTATAACATAGCGTAACATCGACTCGCTTGTATCACAGCTGTAAGGCGACCAAACATGCCCTTACGAAGTATTTTCACACTGGTAAGTTACAGATGGTGTACGCTTTTTTGTACATCGTTTCTTTCCTATAAACATGCACACACAACACACACAACACAGCTACACACACATACCGTATGCAAGTGCACACTTCTTCTATGGGGTGACAATTTTGATTGTTTTACTAGAAAAACGAGCAAATAAAACATTTACATCTCATCCGGACATTTACATCTGCTCGCACCACTAACAAGATAGCTGAAAATGTCCGTTATGCGGAGATGCTCCAGTCTTGGGTGTTTTACAGGGACCCAAACCGTTTATAATGCTGTTTTATTTAACGTATCCCAGAATATTCTGCGTGCTTTTTAGAATTTTAACATGTTTAGCATTTCCTTTCTCCCAAATCTGCTTCTTGTCTGCGAAGTACTGTTTGTTTTCATGGTTTGTTTACATTTGTAAGGCCATCAATCTGTCTGTACACGTCCCAGAATGCAACATAATTACATGTGATCCCAAGCCCTATTGGTATGGAACTCAAAAGTATTCAAAATTCAATAAATAAATAAGACATTATGAAATAAATATCTACATGAAGAAATACTAGACAATCATAAATCAGCCATGGGAAAAAAAACACTATCATGAAATAAAAGCTGTCTTTGTTAAAAAGACATTATGTAATAAAAACTGAATGAATTAAATAAAAATGGCTCAATATTAATTTGGATTATTATGAAAAAATGACTTTTGAAAAGAAAAAGATTGTATTAATAAAGAAGAATGAAAAATATTTCATAATATTGAGCTTAGATTTTATATAACATTCTGTTATTTCATCATTTCATTGCCAGATTACATGACTGTCTCGTATTTCTTCATGTAGATATTTATTTCATAATGTCTTATTTATTTATTTTGAATACTTTTGAGTTCCATATATTGGCGTTATTGTTTTATAGACCAATCAGGTCAAGGGTGTTTTTTTTGGGGGGTGGGGTTCAGGGTGGGCTAGCGCGACCCTGACAGCAAACTGGGACCACCACCCCCATCCGATCTGGAACCAAGACAAGCCTGTCTGAAACAGAAAACAAATGCTGAGACGAATACTTCCATGTTGTCACTGAGATTAATAACTCAGACTATATTTTTCCAACATATCAAAAGAAACTAACTAAATTGATGTTATTATTTTGTACTTACCCACCAAAATCTGAAATTCCTAAAAGTAATGTCTGTAGTGTTCTCTTACAGATGTGCCTCTCAAGCAGCTGCATCTGCCTGCGCCCCCAGCCCCATTTTGGTCTACATCCGCCCCGTTGAACTGTACATTGCTCAAGGACACAACAGCACCCTGCAGGGTCAAGATATCAAACCTCCTACTGGGCCGAGCTGCTGCCTGTCATCCATCATGCACTGCCTGCTATACGGGCAAGCTCAGCCTGACACACCCTTTTCGGTTCTGGTGAGTTCAGCATCAGAGTCCTGGGGTACCGCGGACAGACCCAGATGGTGAACCTCGATCTTCTGTTTCTTTTATTATTTATGTCCAGGAAACCAGAACCACGAGACAGAACCAGATCCAGGCCTGGACCAGGCAGGCAAACACAATAAACCTGTTATGAATTATACAGTTTATTATTTCCTCAGAGAAGCGCTCATCACCACGCTGCAGCCCAGCAGAGCTCGCGCCTCGTGGCCCTGGAGAACCCGGTTCTTACCGTGTACCGAGAGCAGCAGCGGACCCAGAAGGATGTGGATCATGGCTCCAGCCCAGCCTGAACACCGAGAAGGATAACGGGTCTGGGTCCTACAGCGGAGTCCTTCCCTTGCGGATGCTCTGAAACCACCGCAGTCTGGGACACGCCCACACGAGCACCTTCCTGCAGCCTTTCCGGTTACTAAGCTCGACCAATGAGACACAGCAACTTTCATTCATACAATCTCATCTTTTTTTTAGGAAGTTTATCCAAAATTACGGGATTTTTTTTCAATAGCTCCTAGGTAAATCAGTCTAAATACACAAAACCATTTCTCTATTGTGTTACTAAGCCAGAATGAGACAGCAGTTTATAACACCTTTAATACATCTGATCTTTTTATTGGGATTTTTATCAAAAATTAAGGGATTTTTTTGAATAGCTCCTTAACGAGTCAAAATACCCCAAACCATTTCTCAATGTTGTTACTAAGCTAGATCAATGAGACACGGCAGTTTTTAACACCTTTCATACAATCTGATCTTTTTTATTAGGATTTTTATAAAAAATTAAAGGATTTTTTTAATAGCTCCTAGGTACATTAGTCATAATACCCAACTATATATATAGTTGACCAGTCAGCCAAAGGGACATCCCCTTAATCCGGTCAAAAGTTTTAGAATGCCCCAACTTTTCCAGTTTTTTTATTGGAAATTATATAATTTATTGTCACATTGCACTCTGAAATGAAAGCATACTAAAAATGAGCGATTTGAGTTAAAAAAAGAAATTATGGAATCAATTTATAGACCAAAATCTATTCTAAACTTTTGACTCATGAAATTAGCCCCGCCTTTGGTAGGTATAACAGCTGAACACACTTGTGGCATTCTTTCTACAATAGAAATCAAATGTTCTTCAGAAAGTTCTTCCCACATCTGTGGCAGAAGTTCCCATAAATGTGTGGCACTTGTAGGTTGCTTTGCTTCCACTCTTCTGTCCAGTTCATCCCAAACCAGCTCCATGGGGTTTAAGTCTGAAGATTGTGCTGGCCGCTCCGTGTTTACAAGCTTACCATCTTGTTCTTTTTATCCTGAGGTAGTTCTGGCATAGCTTGGACCTATGTTTTGGGTCATTGTCTAGGATGAACCCCTGACCAACTAGGCGCGTACCAGAGGGTATACTGCATGGCGCTGGAGAATGCTGTGGTAGCCCTTTTGGTTCAGGGTGCCTCTCACTCTGTGCAAGTCACCGACCCTGGATCCAGCAAAACAGCCCCAGACCATCACACTTCCTCCTTCCTGTTTGACAGTTGATGCCACACACTGTGGAACCAACCATTCACTTGCTCAACGGCATACAACTATCCTGCATGATGAACTGAAGATTTCAAATTTGGATTCATCGGTACCTTCTTCCAGTTTTCAGTAGTCCAACGGCGGTGTTTCATGGCCCAGGCAAGCCTCTTTCTCTAATTCTGACGTCTTAAGCCTGATGCTTCTCCGTCAGCTCCGCAAGGGACAGACACGCACGGATTGACTGAAGTGTTTTGCTTACTTCTCCGTTTGCTGAAGGGGTGTTGCAAAGCAATTCTCTGCCAGGGCAACAGAGGGCGTAGTGTAGGTAGCAGTACAGTGACGTACTTTTTTTTTTATTAAACTTTATTTAACAAACAATGAGTATACAACATAGAAACGAATGAAGTATACAAAACAACAGAATATGAACACACAAAGCCAGGGGTAAAAGAAAAAAGTAACAATTATAAGAATACACGCAAAAATTCACACACACATATATATATATATATATATATATATATATATATATATATATATATATATATATATATTGTTTTGAGAGCCTTTTTGTTGGTGGATATTGATTTTATGTACAATTCCACATTCTTAAAAAATGACAGAAATATGGTGTTTTGTTAGTAAACTTACATTTATGAATAAAGAATTTAGCTAAAAGTATTAACAGATTTATCATAAAAAACATTTATCATTCTTCATGGGGAACTTAAAGAAACAGAATAAAACATTTTCCCACCGTAAAGAAAACTCCCTTAAGATATGGACAGTAACAAACCTGCTGAATTCCTTCCAGAATCTTTGTGTAAAAGAACAGCACCAAAAGAGATGTGTCACAGTTTCTGGATGATCCCCACAGAAAGTACAATTAGTATTTATGTCCCCTTTAAATTTTACCATGTAATGACTGGCTGGATAACATTCATGTAGAAGTTTAAATGAGACTTCTTTCACCTTATTTACAATCAAATATTTCTGGGGGATCATCCAGACTGTCTTCCACTTGATATCTGGAACATATCGGTTCCAATGAGATATATGGGAGAGAGACGATATCTTCCTGGAATAAACTAATCTTATTGCTGTTACCAAGTTCTAGAGAAAAGCAGATTTTTCCTATTGGTGACTCAACTGGATCAGGGAGAGTGACTGAGGTAGATATTGAGCTGTATATAACATTAAAGTCCCTGAGGGTATGGCACCAAGCACCATTGAGAATTCGTGAACACTGATTGGGAAATTATATAGGGCAATAAAGTCATTGTAAGTAGTTGTCCCTCTTTATTAACCAGCTGAGCCACCAATAGGATCCCATTCTGGACCCAAGTTTCCAGGAAAAGTGATTTATTTTTAAATAAAATATCTGTTGTTCCAGATAAGATATTTGTGAGGTGAGAAGTTGTGTTTATAAATGAGGGTCCACGCTAAGAGGACTTGCTTATGGAAGGATGAAAGTTTTGTAGGGAATTTCTCAACATTGTAATTACAATTTAAAATAAAATTAAAGCCACCAAAACAAGAGAAAAAATGATATGGTATAAGGTTCCAGATAGAGGTGGGGGTTTTAAGAAAATGTTTAGCCCAATTAATTTTGAAAGTGTCATTTAAAGTAGAAAAGTCTAGGACGTTAAGCCCACCTGATTCATACTTAATCATCACAACAGTTTTCCTAATATAATGCGTACGGTTTTTCCATATAAATTAAAGAGCATACGGTCAATATCTTTACCAATTTCCTTATCCAGATGTAAAGAGAGAGCAGCATATGTTAATCGGGATAACCCTTCAGCTTTAGTAATTAACACTCTACCTTTCAAAGACAAGTCCCTCTGCAGCCACCGGTTGAACTTTTTTAGGGTTTTCTGTATAAGTGGAGGGAAGTTTAAAGAGCATCTTGATTTTTGATCTTTGGATATTAACAGTCCCAGGTATGTGACTTCCTGTTTAACAGAAATATTACAGACAGTATTTGCAGGGCAGTCTTTAATTGCTAGCAACTCACACTTTTTTAGGTTTAGGCATAAACCAGAGGCCTCAGAGAAGTCACTAATCACACTAAGAGCTAGAGGGATTTGGTTTGCATTTTTTAAGAAGAATGTGGTGTCATCAGCTAACTGGCTAATCATGAGCTCCTTATCAGCTATGGTGATTCCTTGTACAACACTGTTTGAAATATTAGTTGCAAGAATTTGTGCACAAAGTAAAAATAAATATGGTGAAATAGGACATCCTTGGCGAATGCCACGTTTCAGGTCAAATCTCGGGGTGGAGCCGTTAATCATTTTAATAGAGCTATTGCCATTTGTGTATAAGGTTTTGACAGCTTTACAGAAAAACCTGCCGAAGCCAAATTTTCCAAAGAGTGGAAAATAAATTGATGTTCAATTGTATCAAAAGCCTTATAAAAATCCAGGAAGAGAATAAAACTATTGTCAGATACCAAATCAGAGTAATCAAGTAAATCCAAAACCAGTCTAATGTTATTAGAAATGTGTCTATTTCTCATAAAGCCTGATTTTGTCTCATCAATAATTGTGTCCAAGACCTCTTTAATCCTGTTAGCAAGTATTAAAGCCATAATCTTATAATCATTATTGAGCAGGGAGATGGGTCTCCAATTATCAATAAAAAGTAAGTCTTTGTTTGGTTTTGGAAGAAGTGTTATGAGACCTTGAGTAAGAGTAGGAGGGAGGGTGTTATTCTCTATACTTTCTGTAAAAACCTGCAGTAAAAACGGGGCCAGGAGATTAGAAAACGGTTTATAAAAGTCTGCAGTCAAACCATCTGTGCCGGGAGATCTATTGGCCTTAAGTGCAGAAATGGAAGTACGGACTTCTTCCACAGTCAGAGGGCTGTCACCATAAATTCTATCTTCCACAACAATGGTTTTTAGGTTTTTAATATTATTGAGAAATCCTGTTGAGACAACCTCATTATATTTTGAGTTGTATAGTTTAGTATAGAATTCGGCACAGAAATATGAAATTTCTCTAGGATTGTCAGAGTCAATGCCATTAATATTTAGTTGATGAATAGAGTTAATTTTTGATCTGTATTTTTCAAGCCTGAAAAAGTAAGCAGAACTTTGTTCGCCCTCCTCCAGCTACCTCTTCCTGGATCTTACAAAAGCACCCTCAGCCTTGCGTCGATATAAACCGTCCAATTTATTTTGAAGTTCTAGTAAACTTAATTTATCTTCCTCTGAGATTTCTTCTGGGGACTTCTGGTAATAAGAGGCAATTCTGCTTATTACGTCTTGTTCTTCAACTTTCCTTAATTTAGCAATGTGACTCCCATATCTTCTCAAGAATTTGCATGCTTCAAATTTAAAAAGTTCCCAGTTTCAACAAAAGGATTTCTCTCTGTTAGCTTCATTCCAATAATAACCAATTAAATTATGAATCTGCATGTTAACCATTTTATCTTTTAGCAAATAGTTATTTAACTTCCAATAAGAGAAATTATGAGGTATATTATCCAGTGTAATTATTTGGACGTTAATGTGAATTGCTCGATGATCAGTGAGGGGGGTGGCATGTATATTAACAGTAATATTATCTTTATCAATGCAGTCAAAAACAAGCCAGGAGTCAATACGTGATTGCCTGGATCCTGTCTTATTGCTCCAAGTATAGAGTCTATCATCTGGAAAAAAAATTTCTCCAAATATCCACAACATTAAATTTTCCCATAAAATTTTTTAAGTTTGCACTATATGAGGATTGCTGCCCTGGAGGCCACCTATCAACCGTATTGTCTAAAGCGATGTTAAAGTCTCCACCAATTAATAGGACTGAATTTGGATATTTGAAGAGCCAGAAATTAATTCTTTCTTCGATGGAGTCGAGTAATTTATCATTTTCTGTTTTATTATTGTAACCATATATATTTACTGCAATGAAAGTACTGTTATTGTGTCTGATTATTGAGCAGA